GTCAAGAGGCCAAGAGGGGAAGTTGAGGGGCCAGGAATGTAGATCCATGTTAGAGCATTTGTCTAAGATGGGTGAGGTCATGGGTTTAATCCCTTCTGAAAGAGAGGGAGATGGAGAGGAAGAGAGAAAGAGACAGCGACATGGGAGAACACCACTTGAAGATACAGAGGCTTGGATAATGGACCTACCAGCCAAGATATGCTAAAGACCCCCAGCAGCACCAGAAGCTGGGAGACACTGTCCCTCAAAGCTTGGGAGCTGAAATTTTTTTTAATTGCACTAGAGATTTTTCCTGGGGAAATGCAATACACTTCTATCCACCCCAGAAGGGAAACCAACCCATGACAGGTCAAAAAAAAAAAAATGGTTACACCATGGCCAATTTGGTGACCCAATAAGTTTTTATTGGGGTTGCTAACAGGAATATGTGGTGGTATTGTGTTCCCCAAAATATTGTGCACCCTAATAAACTTATCTGGGGTCAGAGACAGAACAGCCACAATATTAAACATAGAGGTTAGGCAGTGGTAGCACACGCCTTTAATTCTAGCATTCCAGAGGCAGAGATCTACCTGGATCTCTGTGTGTTCAAGGATACAGCCAAGCATGGTGACTCACGCATTTAATCCCAGAAAGAGAGCCTTTAATCCCAGGGAGTGATGGTAGAAAGCAGAAAGATATATAAGGCATGAGGACCAGAAACTAGAAGCATTTGGCCTGGTTAAGCTTTTAGGCTCTTGAGCAGCAGTTCAGCTGAGATCCATTCTGGATGAGGACTCAGAGGCTTACAGTCTGGGGAAACAGAATCAGCTGAGGAATTGGCAAGGTAAGGTGGCTATGGCTTGTTCTGCTTCTCTGATCTTCCAGAGTTCACCCCAATAACTGGCCCCAGATTTGATTTTATTAATAAGAACTTTTAAGATTCCTGCTACAGGAATATGGGTTACTTACAGGAGCATGGGTTACTAACAGGAATTTGGGTCACCTACACATCACTGAAAAGCCCAAGATAACACGGGTGATGAAAGCTGCAACCCTGGAGCCCTCCCTCTGCATGCCCTGCAGGCCGCTCAACTGGCTGGTCTGTCCCATCCGTTCCCTGTACCTGTCCCCACACTCCACCCACCGCCCAGCAGTTGTTCACTGTGTCTACAAAGCTGGGGAGGCACTTACAATCTTTGACCCTCTCAGACAGATGACATGTTTACCACTCCCTACCCCCCACCCCCAGTCTCAAGATCCTTAGATGCTCTCCCTCCATACCGGAGAGAATGTTTCCATTCAAAGGAAACTGCCACACAGCATACTTTGTCCTAGCTTTCTAGCCTCCAGGACTAATAGACAGTGGACTTCTATAATCCAGCTGGTTTTCAGTTCTTTGCGGACACATTGGCACATGCTGTGAAATTAACTCACTATCCATCTGGTCCACCTAAATCTACAGAAGAACGAGGGTTCCATCTAACTGGGTTGATAGCAGTTAACATTTGTAGAATCTATCTTGCGGTCCAACCAGCTTCCAACCCCTGTAACTTTAACGAGGCCACAAAAGGATCTGTCACGAGCCTTGCCTAGAGAGACCATCACAACATTACTCTGCGAGGCTTGCTTTCAGATCAAAATCTCCCTCTCACACACGGAAGGGCTCATCATATGAAGGTGTCCAGCTCTCGGTCCCCTTCAGCTAGCCAGCCAGCAAAGATTTGTTTAGCCACAATGTCAGGAAGTTTTATTGAGCGGCTCTAAGCAGAGAATTGGGAGGAATCAGTGCTGGCTTGTGATGAGGCTCAATTTTCTGTCCCCTGACCCTTGGGATCAGCTAAAGACACAAGAACACCTTGGTGGTCAAAGGGCCACGTCTTCCTTTCTTGAGCGCCCTCTGGCGTCCTCTAGTCATGGCAACTGACACGCAGGATTGGAAAAAGTGCTCAAGAGAAGTGGCAGTTTTTATTTATTTATTTATTTATTTATTTATTTATTTATTTATTTATTTATTTATTTATTTATTTATATCTAGAAAGCCTCAGGAACTCTTCTGGTGGCTGTTTTGACTTTAGTGTCTTCACGGTTGCCAAGAACAGCAGAGGTAGCAGTTCTGAGCCCAACTTAATGTAGTTTCCTCCCTGTTCCCAGCACTTTTCCTGTCCTCAAATCTCACAGTGATATAGGCACAGGTTCCCAACTTTCTGTTCATGCTACTATCACTCCACTCTGTAGAAAAGGAAGAGGACCAGATGCAACTTCCCTGGATACATTCAGGGCCTTAGTGACATGTGCAATTGGTCATCTTTTGCTGTGGGCAGCGGTCCCATGTAAGGTCCCTGGCCTCCCCTACTGGATGCAGGGAACACATCCTAGGATAATTAAAGATGTTTCTAGTTACTGGCAAATGTATCTTGATGTACCCTAGGGGGTAAGATCACCCTCTGCATTGATGAATGCTCCGTTTATTGTTGTTGATGATAATACTAATAATCGTATAAGGCCACTCTAGCTCAATGATAAAGTGGGTGTTCATAAAGATTGCCATGACTCTTGCATGTTACATACAATTATGTGTGTGTGTTTATTTTTTTATCTTGGGGGGTTACCTGTGCCATGAATGTGCGTAGAGAGACGAGAGGACAATTTTCAGAGAGTTTCTCTCTTCCCAGCTCCTGAGTCACAGTTACTCACTCAGGTTGCCAGGTTTGATGGAAGGTGACGTCACCTGCTGAGCCGTCTCATAGTTTGGAATTAGTGTAATTTCCCTGAATGATAAGGGATATGGTAGAATTTGGAATTAATGGCAGAAAATGAAAAAGCAATTATAATCAGGAAATTCTTCTCCATGTCATTAGTCATGCTTGGGTGGGCAGGAAGTCATTTTGGCCACAGACGGTGAGTTAGCATTCGAGCTGCCCGAGAGGGATACAGGTCACTCAACACAGCAAAACGGTGCTGCTTTTCAGTTCTGAATGCCCAAGGTCTGCAGCTCTTCCAGAAGTTCCTCTGAGAGGATCTTCTTGTCTTTTCCAGGTCCTGGTAGCCTTTGCCTTGTGGCTGCACTACCCTAATCCATCTTCACGTGGCTTCCTCCTTGTATTTCTGTTTTCCATTGGCCATCATTCACATGGGCACCGGTCCCATGACTTGCCCTACACTGGTAGGACCTCACTGGAGCTGATTACATCGGCAATGACCCCATTCACTATTTTTCTAAAGGAGTGGGGATTGTGGCTTCAAGATGTGGTCTCTTTTTAAGGAGACACAATTCAATTCCTAGCAAGTAAAGTTAGACTTCACTCTTACACCTAATAGAGTTTGATTGAGACAACAGCGCTCGGTGGTGTTTCAACAGGATGCTTTGAACAGGGACACCTGTGAGACATTGTCCTGGTCTCGTAAACATCCAAGAAAGAAACAGGAAGAAACGAACAGAAATGCCCCCTTGCTTTATCTGGGGACAGGAGACAAGGTTGGTTGGTGGAAATTTTGACATCAGTGTTAACTAGGAAATGCACAGGAGGTAGAGTGTCCAGATGTTTCCTTGGCCCACACACCCCAAAGCACATTTAAAGGGGTCTTTTCTCCCGGGATCCCGCTCCAAGATAGATACACTGTATCTCTTTGCAGTACTTGTAAGGTCTGCCAAAAGAACACCCTCCTCCAAGATGCCAAAGCTCCCAAAAAAGACACACAGGACTCTGCCAAGAATGGAGATTCAAAATGGAGGAAGGTAACCTCTCTTTGTCCATGACCTGCCCTCTACAGACTCATTCTTTGGAGGCCTGACCTCAGTTAGCATGCCACCACTGCCACCACCACCACTACCCACAGGGAACAGAGCTGTAATGCACAGTGACAGCCTCATTCTGCTGGGACCCTCACACTACTGAGAGTTCAAAACTTTCACTTTTCATTCAGATGATCAATCCTGCATGCATAAAGTCCTCCGGGTTTGCTCACCCGACCCAGGGTATGTCCACTCCACTCTTCAGGGTGGTGAGACAAGAACTCCACAGAAGAATCAGCTGTCACAAGGAGCTTAGTTAGGGTTGCTTTTGCTATGACACACACGTGACCAAAGCAAGTTTCGTACTGAAGGAAGTCAGGACAGGAGCTGAAACAGGACAGGAACCTGGAGGCGGGAGCCGATGCAGAGGCCATGGAGGGGGCTGCTGACTGGCTCACTTCTTGTGGTTTGCCCTGCCTGCTTCTTTACAGAACCCAGGACCACCAGCCCAGGGATGGCACCACCTACCAAGGACTAGGTCCTCCCCATCAATCACTAATTTAAAAATGCCCTACAGGCTTGCCTACAGCACAATCTTATGGAGGCATTTCCTCAACTGAGGCTCCCTCCTCTCTGATGACTCCAGCTGGTGTCACTAGCCAGCACAACCATTCAGCTCAGCCTCTGGTGGTCCACAGAGAACCCCACCACCATAGCTTCATTGTTGAGTCCTGCCTAGTGGCCAACACTTCTGCCCACTTTGTTTCATCAGTGTGGTAGCTGAAGCAGCCAAGACAGCCCAGTTAAATTCCCACTCCCCGGTAATGACTCCCCGTGGAACCCTCCACAGGGCTAAAGCTGGCACGATTTTAGGAATGAGGATGTGTGACTTATTTATTTATTTATTTATTTATTTATTTATTTATTTATTTATTTATTTTATGTATATGAGTCTCTACCTGTATGTATACCTTTGATGCCAGAAGAGGGCATCAGATTCTACTCTAGATGGTTGTGAGCCACCATGTGGTTGCTGGGAATTGAAATCGGGACCTCTGAAGAGCAGCCAGTGCTTTTAACCACTCAGCCATCTCTCCAGCCTGATGTGTAATTTCTGATGCAGGGACATAAAATCCTTCCAATTTCTGCCTTGTCACCTCCTGGGTCACCATCTCAGGGGAAACCAGTTACTATGCTATGAAGACACCAAGGCAGTCTGAAGGCAGCCCACAAGGGAGAAACTGAGGCCTCCCACTAACAGCCAGTGTCAATTCACCAGGTATGTGTGTTGGGTATCTGGGAAGGGACCCCAGATCCCAATCTTACCTTTATGTGCTTACAGCCCCAGGAGACATCTTGGCAGTAACGACATGAGACACCCTGAGCTGAGATCGCCCAGCTAAGCTACTCCTAGATCCCTGGACCCACTGGATCTAAGAAACTTCTATAAAAAGGTTGCTTTAAGCCACCAAGCTTTAGGATGTTTAGTTACACCACAACAGAAACAAGTTTAATAGGTCCTTACAAAGCACACAGGATGAAGTCAGAAGGGAAGAAATGGTCATCCTGACCCATTAGAACCTGACAGCTTCTTTTCTAATCCAAAGGACTTCAGCACAGCAGAACACCTCTCTCTAGGAGGCTACAAGGTTTGCCAGCTCTCCATGGAACAAGTTACATTCTTCATATGTGACCAGCCAATTACAATGTCTGGGCAAGCCAAGCTTGGAGCTGTGGCCTACAGGGTAATTACAATGTTTCTGCAACGGAAGGACAATGGTAAGTGTCAACAAACGTGCCTACGATGTAACTCTTCCTGGGATGATGGGAATTCAAACCTACTCACCCTAAATAGTATATCAATGACAAACGAGGAAACTGTCCCACCCAAGTCTATATCTGTGAGTCAGTACGAGAGTTACCCACTGGAGTATGGATGATGTATTACTTACAAGAGAATGGTTGATTCAAAGGCAGCTTGACTGCTGAAAAGCCTGCACCAGCATGGGTGACAGAAATGGATCCCTGGAATTGCCTGCACAGCTTGTAGGCAGCTGGGGCAGGGAGAGGGTGTGTGGGGAGCCTTCTCTTCATGGCCATTGTTTTATACCCCTAGGGAGGAACCTTTGTGAATCTTGTAAGTTGCAGGAGCTTCCTCAGCCTTGCAAGTTTCCTGTGCTTCCTGAGTCTCAAAAGCCTCCTTCCTACTTCTAAGAGGGAATGTTCGAATTCAGAAGAAATAATTTGATTATGCATTGTTACCACTGTGAGAATCTACTGAAAAACGAAGATTTCAGAAGCCCACCCCCAAGTAGCTCTTAGCTAGTCCTAGAAAGACAAAGCCCTCACAACTTAAATTTGCAAATGGGTTTGAAAAGCACTTCATTGTCAGTCTGATTGACAAGCCCATGTTGACCCCTGTCCGAGTAAGCATTATGTGTCAGTCTAGAATAACCTGAGAGAAAAGCCTCAGTTGAGAAATTGTTTTCCTTAACTGGCCTGTGGACATGTCTGTAAGGGGTTGTCTTGATGGTTAGCTGATGTAGGAGGGCCCAGTCCACTGTGGGCGGTACTATTCTCTGGGCAGTGGTCCTGGGTTATATAAGGAACCTGACCGAACACGAGTCTCAGCAAGCCAGAGGCAGAGCCAACAAACAGCATTCCTCCATGTTTTTTTAATTCAAATTTCTTCCTTTACTTTCTTCAATGATGAGTTGTGTATAAGTCAAATAACTATTTCCTCTCCTAAACTGCTTTGATCAGAGTGTTTTATCATGCTAACAGGATGAAACTAGAGTAAGCCCCTAGCCAAGTCTCATGCTATGGAGCCTCCAGCCTTGGTGGTTAGTCATTGCAGGGGGCTGGTTGGGCGCTGTGGCCTGGCGTCAGTCTAATTCCTGCCCCGTCTTTGAAGGCATCATAAAGCCTAGGTGCCAACACTTGAGAGAAGAATGTGTGATGATTAATTTTGGCTGTCAACTTGATGGGACTTGGAATCACAATGGAGATACACTTCTGGATGTGTCCGTGAGGTGTTTCCAGGTTTAAGTGAGGGAGGGAAGACCCAACCTGACTGCGAGTGGCATGGGCCAAGGCCATGGACTGGATAAAAAAGGAGAGGCTGAGCTGAGCATCAGCCTGTGTCTTTCTCTGCTTCCTGACTGTGGATGCCATGTGACCGGCCGCCTTGCTCTCTGCCACCACAGCCTCCTGCCATGATGGGCAGTTTCCTCAAACTGTATCCAAATAAGCCCTTCTTTCCCGAAGTCGCTTCTTGTCAGGTACTGTTCACACCGACAGAGAAGTAGTGAATCCAGACTGTTGGGAGCCCCTCTGGGCTCTAGTCTCAGGACTTAATGAGAGGGTTAAACACTGGGCCTTGGAAACAGGCAAATTGGACTCCAGCCCAAGATGAACAGCTCCCTAGATGTGTGCCATGGTCAGTTACCTAACCTGGCTAAACCTTGCTTTGCTCATTGTTAAAATAAGGGCTCTGTTAGTTAACTAGGGTTGCTATAACAAAGTACCATAGCCTCGGTGGCATAGGCAACAGGACTTTCTTTTCTCATAATTCCAGAGGCAAGAAGGCTGAGATTGACCTTCCCACCTGGTTGATGCCTCCAGAGACCTCTGTCCTTGACCTGTAGGTGGCATCTTATCCCTGTGCCTTCCCCAAATGACTGTGACCTAAGCCCCCTCCCCCTCTTACAAAGATAGTGCTGATTTGGCGCTTCCTGTGTGACCCCATTTTATCTTAATGACTTCTTTAAACGTGGTTGCATTCTGAAGGCGTTAGGGACGCTGAGGTCTTGACCAGGCAATGTGTTGCTGTGAGGACAGGGAGATGAGGCCCCAAGCCTAGGGCGCTTCAGGCCATCAGAAGGTGGAAATTCGGATTTCCATTCCCACCGATTCTGGTGGCATTGTGTGGAAAAAATTGCCTTTAAGAAGTGGGTGGCACACAGGAAAAGCGGCTTTTGTTTCAGCGATAATCCCCTTAAAACATCTGGTCTGCCCCCACCCCCAGCCGGCGCGAATGGAGCCGCCATGAAAAGGTGGCGCTGGGTCTTAGCAGCTGTGACAGCCAGGCTGCTTTCCTGAGGAGCCCTTTGCCCGACCTCGCGGAATCTGAGCTTTAGCACTTAAGACTGGGGTTCTTTTCAAAGGCGCTGAAGGCTCAAGCACTTCGTGGCACCTAATCCTTTTTCAGAAGAAGGGGGGAGGCATTTTAATGCAGCCTCAAAATCCTCACTCGGGTTTACAAAGGACCCTGGTGGATTTTCACACTCCCCAGCAAGGCCTGGGTACCAGAAATGAAGCCCGCAAACCCACACAAGGACTGAGAGGCAGCGATCAGGGAAGCCGAGGCCCTTCCCACCTTGCAGGAGTGTCCCATGTGGGGTGGATTCCTCTCCTCGGCTAAGTTGGCTATCCTGTCGCCACCTCCGTCGTGAGTCACAAGGGAGCCTCGCACTCCTCAAAATGCATGGCTGTACAAGCTGGAGCAAAGGTGAATCTGTACATGCCTGTTACTCATTAGACTGCGAAGTGGAAAGGAATCGGGGCGGGGTGGGGGCGTGGAGTCCCTAAAGACGACAAACAGAAAACCCTATAACCACAAAGACTGACTAACTCTGAGATGACTGATCTTTGGATAATGGCACTATGTCCCTTGTCTCTGGCCACACTCAAGGACCATAGTCCCCTTTAATAGGATGGGGCTTCCAAGAAATGAAGGCAGGCAAGGTGGAACTGGGGACATGAGCTGAATCTGGCCCAGGAACTCTCCCTGTCTGGATCTCTCCTTTTTTGCGCACTTGGGTCCGGGACCTCTGCTTTTCCTTCTGGCGCTTGTACTTGACGCTTATGTAATTCTGTCAGCACCTGGGCTGGCAAGCCTTGACCCTCTGGGTCAGCCCACCCAGGCGTCCAGTACTGGTTCCAAAAGGCGGCATTCACGTTGAAAGGAGAGTGCTAGTTAAATTTGAAGTTTTAGGTAATGAATTATTTTAAAACTTATTATGTTTTAAATATAATATAAATATATTTAATTTATATATATAAATATATTTATGTTATAAATATAATATAATATAAAAAACATTATATTATAATGCCCATAAACATTGCTCTGAGAATGAGCGTCTACTGCCATTATTCCTGTTTTCTGAGTGGGACGTCAAAGACAGAGAAGTTACGTCATTTAAGGTCATCCAAACAGGAAGTTACAGAGGTGGGATTTAAACCTGGGCATCACAGTGCCAGAGCTGTCCCTTTGCTTGGCTCATCAGCAGCCTTCGGAGTGGAGAGGTGGGTGGCATCTCAAGCCAGCAACAATGTGCTGGTCCAGACAGACCTCTGCATCCCCAAGGCCACTTCTGCCTCTGACTGTGGGAAAAGGTGAATTATGCTCTTTTTAGTTCATTACATCCCAGCCCCAAGGTGGGGTCTGGCTCAGAGAGGACACTTAGTAAACATGTGTTTAATAACTGAATGAATGATAAACACAGTGTGGCGCTTTGCTGAGAAATGTCCCCATAATCGTGGGCATTTGAACACTTGGTCCCAGTTGATGGTGATGCTCAGGGAGGTTTAAGGGGTGCACCCTTGCTGGAAAAAGTATTCTGCTTCGGGCTGGACTCTTGGGGTTCAAGGCCTCCCCATCTAACAGTTTGTATTCCCTCTTCCTGCTTCTGCTCCCCTGCCTGCCGCCTGCTCTGGTCCTGTTACCCACCATCCTGGACTCTGACCTGGAACCATCCGCCAAAACACTCTTTCTTCTCTACGTTTTCTTTAGCACAGCAACATAAAAGTAACTAATACACACAGCATGTGATCTTGTGATCTGTGTAGGAAACTTGGAAAACAAGGAGGAAAAGTATTAAAAAAACAAAAACGAACGAACAAAAGTGCCCACACTCTTTATCCCATCACTTAAAAATAACCACTCTAAACATTTTCTGACCTTGGACATTTTGAATGGATGAAACTGAGGGCCAGGGCCCTCGCTACTCAAGTCTTGCCCTTCTCCTCAGCCTTGCTCCTCCCAGCTCTGGAGTTTTCCGTAGGGTCTGTCTCAGAAGGGGATGTCGCACTTGTCCACACCGAAGTGCGGTGGAGTTGTTGCTCCACCCCTTAATGCCGTGGCTGGGAGACGACGCTTTCTGCCAAAGCTGCTTCTCCCCCTCAGGTGTCTCAGAGGCCATTGCACTTGGAACCTTTAGACCCGAGGTCGAAGCCCAGCATTGCCACTTAATGAGCATGTCAAAAGCTTGGACAAGTCATTTAGTGTCCCTACTTCTTCTCTCTAAGGGAGGTTGAGCTAGAAAATAATGAGTCCTGCATGTCAAACACATCTCTCCTACCACACTCACACACACACACACACACACACACACATCACTGGCTACATTCTATTAGAAAAATTAAACTGAAAGTAGAGGAAGTTGTTTCCATATTGGGTGTTGAAAGCCTCAACTTCTTATCCTGTCACATCTTCATCTCCAAGTAACAGATTGTTTTGAACCAAATCCCAACTATTATACAGTACAATGTCATATGTGACTAGGTAGGATGTAACCCTAAAACCTAAGGATTCTTTATTTGAACAAGTTAATTGTCATGCTTTAAAAAGGTGGAAAACAGTTTCTATTTCATCAATGACCAGTGGGACTGACTCTGCTTGTTTCTGTGGAGCAGTGGTTCCCAGCCTTCCTAAGGCTGAGACCCTTCAGTACAGCTCCTCGTGTTGCCGGGACACCTGCCCATGAAACTGTTGT